TCAACTTATGGCCCAGGGTGACGGGACGCAGTGGCAGTACCCCTCACATCTTTGAGCTTATTTTACAGTGAGGGAGTATATTTTATTACTAAAAGTCAAATGTTTAAATATCATGCAATGAATTTAACCGCGTTTACCATTTCGCCTTAAGGGATACTGATTAAAATAAGAACACAAAATGTCTTTTTTTATGATACCCAGTGTCGGAACGAACAAGTCGTGCTCCTGATGGTACGCAACACGCCTGTCCATAACAGTTGCAGTGACACTCAGAGCTTTAAACGCAAAGATCGGAAGGGCACTGCCACTACGCCCGTCAACCTGATACATATGTTGATAAGTCCCTGGTACCTGTAATTTCACCAGCACCCCTACCCTTAAAAACCGGAATGCAATGCTCACAACACAGCTTGGCGGCAGAATTTGGTAAGTTGGTAGTACTTCCCTGGACGAACTCTTTCACAAGGAGCTCGCTACTGCTACTAATTAACTAATGTAAGCGTGAACAATAAGACTCTATTTAATTAAGAAATTGTACATAGAATAATAAACATTATGTCAATTCTAATGCTTAAACTAGATACTATATGGTAACTACGGAAATTTTAAAAACTTTGCGAGAATTCTCCGGAACGCGCGCGATCCATTTTCGTATATAATTTGCACATTACGAAATTGACATGAAGTGTATTATACTAAGGTTACTAAATTTTGCTTCTATTTCGGTCTGCGGAAGAGAAGATTTTGGACAGGACACAGCGGTGTTGACTACACCGACGAGATCCTAGCTTGATTTTAAAAAATGCAAGTAAGAAATCGCTGCGATGTAGGCAAAATTGGAACCAATGAAAAGATAAACAATTACATAATCATCGTGCAACTTATATTGCATCTGATGTTCAACTTCCCACGATCGTACACATATCGTTAACTTTTTATACCAGCTAGAGCGTCATTATATATCCATTTCAATTCAAGAAACTACACCGTCTACCTTTGTAATAAAATCCATGTTAAAACGGAGGAAAAGAACAGTTAGTCTCTAAGCTCGTGATATCAAATTGTATTTCGATTATGATGATTAAGATTACGTAGGTTCTAAAGTTTTTGTTACAGCGGCACGACTACATACCTATATAGGTAGTTTGTGTGACTTTGAGAGGTCAATTTGTGATAAAAATCTGTAAAGTTAATTAGCATACAAAAACGTAACCACAATCTGCATAATGCAAATTCAAGTCTGTTTTTTCTTTAACTTATATCACTAATTTCTGGCAATGATATTTGTCATTACGGATTTTCACAAGTTTTCCAAAGATTGTATGTATAATTGGATAATAATATGCAAGTTTCATCACGCACTTCATCATGCTTTAATTCGTAATCAGAGAGTGTTTTTTTCTTATTTATAGTAATCTGGCGGTAAGCGACATGCCTGTCCGTAGCAGTTCTAGTGCCAATCAGCTTTAAAACTCAAATATTTGCGGGGTACTAACACTGCGCTCCGTCACCCTGAGACACAAGTTGACGAGTCCCATGTGCCTGTAATTTCACCAGCGCCCTTAGAACGTTGCGCGCTACGTCTTATTCGTATCAGAGGGTCTACTCTCGATCTCCGTCCGACATCCGTCCGAAACAATTACTGCCAAATAAGCAGTACGTGACCAAATGAAAAGACGCGTGATGCGAATGAAGCGTCATACTTGACACTTGTTTTTGAATTTTGTCGAATATTACTTATTTGATAGTAATTGTTTCGGACGGATGTCGGACGGAGATCGAGAGTAGACCCCCAGTTCCGAATCCGAGAAATGACGGTCCGAAATGTCACAGGCATCATTTTATCTTTAGGTGTACAAGCGATATTCGTATTTTCTTCGGATCGGACTTACGACATCTGAAGTGAAAATCATCGGATTCCAAACGAATACGAATCGGATGCAGTGCACAACGCGCTTAAAAATCGGATTTACGGAGACACTACCGCCCACGTATAGTAAGTTTGAAATGCCAATGATATGGGAAAGACGATCAGCTACAAACCATTTACGTCATCAACATCATCATCTTTTTCTTAATAACACTAAAATGCTCGCCATCTAGGTGAAAGGATTTGAAAATCGGCGTAAGTTACTCGTCGATTGATGCCTAGGGTACGATATCACGTACAGGAATGATACGTCGTGAGGAGAGGCTTCTTTCGTGCACGTCACTAGGTATACGTACCACTACGGGACTTCTTCAAGGAAAGGGTTTAGGCCCTAGTCCGCCATGCTGGTCCAATGCGGTCTGTGGACTTCACACGTTTTCCAAGAGTTGTAAACCGTGTGTGACGTGCAGGTTTTGCGAGAGGTAAATAAAATAATATTTTAGTCTATATAGGCCTCACTGGTGGGCACAGTCCTCTCACAGTGAAAGAGCTTGGGTTGTATAGTTCCCACGCGGGGTCAATACGGATTTGGAACTTCAAACACATCATTAAATTGCTTGGCACTCTACAGGTTTACCTGTAGATATCTTCTATATACGATGACTTCGTTCACGAAAAAGCCCATGGTAAATTTCAAATTAAATTTCACACATAAATTTTGAAAAACTCAAAGATGCAAGCCCGGATTCGAACCCCCGACCCTTTGCTTGAGAGGCGGGACGTCAAACCATTACGCTACCACGGCTACTTGCGAGAGATATTTCTACTAAACATTCCCAAATGACGTAACTTAGAAATTAAGATCTAAGATAGGTACATTGTGCTTCAGGGATTCGAACCGTCGATCTCTCAATTAAGAAGTAACTATTCTCCCACTAGACTACCACCGCTCTTACATAACCCACATACAAGTTACCAATTCACATAAAGGCAGTAATTTATTACACCTACTGGCCTTCATTTATTAAAAATACACTAGTTTTATAAAAAGACAAAAATTTTCCGATATTATCGAAATTTGCGATCACAAGCACCTTGAACATCGGTGCAATGTGGCATATCACAATAATAAATTGTAATTTTTACGTCGTTTAAGATCATATCGCAAATATTACGAGCTTCGTCTTTTTATTTGAACCTGTCCGCTGCTAATAGGTCAATTAATTTCTTTAAGGCCTTTATAAGTCTTACTAAAGTGTCAGGTCCTGCGCACTTACTAATATTAACTATCTAGGCGATTTCTGAAGCCATCGTTTTGCGAAACGAGTGTGGTGATCGTTTAATTTTGCCTTTACTCCCAAGCATAAACAATTTTTCCAACATCAGACATTTGACTCACAGTTTTGTATTGCATAAATGAATTTAAATGAAGAAAAACATCGTGATGAAACCTGCATGTCCAATACGGTTCACCATTTTGCACAAAACGAGTGTGTTGAGCTCTACAAACTATTAGATTATTTGAACTTGTCTTTAGTCCGGGTGCCAAACATAAACAACTTTTTCAATATCAGAAATTTGACTCATAATTTTGTACTGCATGAATGAACTCACATGAAAGAATCCTTGGAAAATGAGTGACGTCCCCAACCCGAATTAGGGCAGCAAGGCGAAATATAGCCTAAATCCTTCATTTAAAGGAGACAATTGCCCATCAGCAGAGATGGGAAAAACAGCTTATTTTTTTAAACGTTTAAACGTTACGCTTTTTTTAAAAAAGCGTTATTTTTTTAAAGTTTAGAAAAACGTTTAAGCGCATAGACTTTATGTTTAAAAAAGATTGCAACGTTATGTTGAATTAGTTTGTTTAGAAATCATAGATGGCGCTACTTGAAACTTAGGTACGTTGTAAAAAATGAAATTATTGAGTATCTATAGAACTGACCAGTGACCAACGCTTACGCTTAAAATGAAAAGCGTGCTTATGCGCTTATTTTAAAAAGCAGACTTTTTAAATGCGTTTAAACGCCCACCTCTACCCATCAGTGATACGTGTAATGAATTGATAACGACGAGAGTGTGTATTACTGATTTGTAGCTGATGGACTACGAGGACGACGTGTCCTTCTTTTAGTGAAACATAAAAGGTTATTAAACAAACAATTCCGACATGCAGCTTTCTTTTAACCTCTGCCTTACATATATACACACAATTGCGCCATAATTAGGTACTACTTTCAAGTCTTCCCTCTTGCCATCAGTCCTTGCAATAGAATATGTTAGGTAAAATATCTGCTAGGGATTTGAATGGCAATACTGGATCCCAATCTGGTGGGACGGAGAAATCGTCTTGCCTGTTGAAATTTGGATTTTTTTAAATTTCAATAAGTCGCTCGTGATTTTGTACGTGTACAATACAACAAATATTCAGGAGTACCACAGAGCGTCTCTACCCTCTTCACCACGCTAGCTCCTTTTATAGCAAGTATCAACGCGATGGTTTCTGTCACAAGTGATATCTAGTAAACTACAATATTTATCGAGTTCTTAGGTTCTTACAATATTTGTTAAATTATTAACGTTTATATTTATACACACATAGGTACATTAGCGATAGTGACACTCGTCTCCCAATAGGGTATGCAGAGACCATGACTCTCCACGTGTTACCTTGTTATTATACCTACTACCGTGGTCTTCCAACGTCATCAATCATCATGATAGAATATTGTCGGTTACGAACACATTTTTATCTTTCGTTAATTAAGTACCTAAAATCAAAGGTTAGGTCAAGGAAATACGTATGTATACCCATAATAATGTATCATGTATTATGATACCTATGTTTATATAATACGTTACAATTGTTGACATATTATCTATCTTAGGTCACCGAACTGCGATGCTTCTCGGATCGGACATTGTAGTAGATTTTTCATTGCCATTTTTGCAGCAGTAACACGTTGAGTTATTTATATAATGATTATTATTATTGTGTACCGCTTGTTTATTGCACCTCTGTGTTAACCAAGTAAGGGTGATTTTTCGATTTTGTATATACATCACATCCTTTTTAGTTATGGCTTTCGTGAGATATTAAAAATGTGTATTATTCTGATATGCTCATTAGATGGCGAGCAGGGAATGACGCCACCCAGTGCGTCGGCGCCGCGGGCTTGTCTGAGCCGAGACGTCTCGAGTGTCGGGGCTACCTGTGTTCGATTAGGGTTTGCAGTAAGTCGACTGGCAATAGTATTCTGTTACGTTCTTATATTGCAGATGCTCAATATGCACCTCAAGACTTGGTCTTTTTGACTTACTAGTGGCTCGAGTGGTTTCTTGTTTTGATAATATTAGAAGCTGTACTGTACCTGAAACAAATTGGAAAAGAGAATTTTAGTAATTTATTTAACGTAATGATGTAATGAAAAAGTAATTAGCTATATATTAAACGTTCCAAGTTCTATTTAATTCAATTGGAAGACTAAACAATGTATCCAATTTCTTCAGAATGTTCAAGTGTACGATTGATAGAAACCCACCCAGTTTGAAATTTTGTGAACTTTATTTATCATCATCTATTTAACAAGAAGTACAGCGTTACTATCAACTGTAGATGAATTGGGAGCTACAAAGTATGTGCCAGCCCTTGTTGCTAAACACAACGTTACAGACGTAAGATTGTTTGATCTTGATATTTGCACTTGATTATATCCACTCCATTGTGTCGTCAAGACCGCTCGATACTTTACGAGTATCGTAACGAAGTGCTAGAGCTCATAATGTTGTCTTTATTTACAATTCTTAAAACCTACAAGGAGGTTGCATGGTTTTGGTGTTTAAGAAAATGATCAAACACTATATGACCAGATTATTCTGGGTCGTGAGGGCTTTTAACAAACTGTTATTGTTGAGATTAAATTCACACACCGTAGCATCTTGCACTTAGGGAATTTAAGGAGATTACGGCCTTATAAAAGAGTAGCAAGCGACAAAGTTCTTTAAAAAAATACAGCGACTTTCTCATTGAAACACCTTGTGAGCAATTAACTAAACGTGTCACGTCTCGTTTACGAGTACCCTTTATCGGAGCATCTTTACAGCAAGTGATGTTTAAACAATGAGACAATTACGAGTTTACATGCAAACAAAACGAAAAGATTATCATGCAGTCAGTTCGATGTCAGATTGAGTGTCCGAGAGACCGGAAACACAGTTGCACGCTTGTTACCGAGATTTGAATACGGGTGTTTCGAGTACTCTTTTGGATGATGAGAACGAGCACTTGCGATTGGTCACGCAATACTGTAACGGTATTTAACTGTGAAGAAAAAAATGTAAAGGCGAGCAAAAATAATACATTGAAACGAACACCGAATATTTTCAGTCAATTCTTTAAGTCAGAAATTGTAGTCGCGTAGTACTCTAAAATCAGGAACTGACAACAAACAGTTTTTTCTCATGGAAGAACGTGAGTGAGCCCAAAGCGGCAAAAGTAAAAAGTTGAAGCCTGCTTCGCGAATGCCATCTGCAGAGCTCGTCAGGAGCGAGGGGCGAGCGATAAAAACGATCGCATCGCGCATGCGAATATCGCGTTACAATACGACGTGCCCATACCAATGGCCGAGGACGAGAGGCATCCACTTACTAAAGCACATTCTCGCGTTAAGCCGAGATATAAGAATAAAGCGTTTGTATACGATATAAATATGATAACGAGCTCAAACAGTGCCAACAAGGCGTTGATGCAAACAGAAGGGTACGAATACAAAATGAAAACACAGATGGCATTGACACGATGAACGCCGAAAACGTTACATAAGTCTTATACGATCGGCGAGGTCAATGTCGCGCGGAACAAAGATCGCGAAAGTGGTCCGACGTTACGTACGTAGGCCGCGCAGCGCGGTGCGAAACCGCCTCGCTCGGCTCGCACGGATAATTGCGCTGCGATGTAATCGTCGTAATCCATCCACAAGTGGGCCCGGCTGCTGGTTTCCTTTTACGGAGCGCAGCTTGCGGCCGCATAGAAGAAACAGCTGACCGACGGCACGCGCCTCGAATGCATATTTAATGTCGCACCCGCGGCAAAAACACCAATAAAATCGAATGTTGCTATGAAATATATCGAACCAGTTTGAAGTGCAGGCACCTCAATTATGCAATAGTCGTATGTGGACAACATTATAAATCTACTAGCTCGCCTGTAACGGACTTAAATTTTTCAATGACCCTTTGTGTACCCGGCAAAAACTGCAATGTCCGCTATAATTGATCGCAGCTCATCGTTCGCGTTTTGCTTTTTATCGTTTGGCTCATATTCATTTGCATTTCATTCGGCGGCATTGTTTTTTGGGCCGAGTCATTTGATTGCACGAATATAAGCAGTGCTTTCACGCCGCGTTTCATGCTATCGATATTTCGTATTTCGAATAAATAGTAATAATGTTGTATTTATAGTGTCCCCTTGCCGTCAAAGAGTGAGAGGAGCAAATAACACAATGAGTTAGGGAGGGCGCTCATTGTCCTGCCATAGAGCTGCGTAAGTGGAGTCGTGACATTTCTCCCCCGCGGCGCCGCATCTGCCCTACCCATTACTATTGAAAGGTTCGAAATAAAAACTACCACATTAATTAAGCGTTTGTTGCATTAACAACTTTAACGAGCAATTATCGCGAAATGTTGGATTACTATCTATTTTACTTTCCATCGATGACTGGTTAATTGTTTGCGATGATTCACTCCTTGTTGGAAGCAATACTATAAGACACGTATAATTTTCGTCATTATGAAGTTATAATTTGTAGATATCGACACGTGATAATGTTGCAGGTGCTAGGCACCTAGGAGCTATGGACATTAATTTGAGAAAGAGGGTGCGCGACCGTAATGCTGGTATAAAAAGAAGCCCTATTATGTATGGAGCTAATACAAAATGAAATTGGTATAGATTACTGCAACTATTAAATTCCTACGAATTCGACTTCAATATTTTCTACCCAGACAATATGAAAAAGATAGCAAAATAAGAACCTTGTCTCTTGCTATGATAACGAACTTATGGATGAATCAATTTGAAAATTTTTCTGTCTTTCAATTTCGTGCTTGATTGAGAGGACATGCAATTCAACGGGAAATCCTTTCTTGAGCATCATCAATCTCGTTTGTCAGATAACACAGATGTAAACATTTTCTAGTACGTTACACTAAGTTCTTTATCTTGGTATCTCGTTTCCCTCAGCTATGCAAAACAGCAGGTGTGCAGGGCCAACGACGTTAGACCTTTCTATGTCGCGTGCCAACTGCAAATGTGTGGCATATTATTAATACTACATTAGTTTGCAACAATAGGGTTGTCAGACCATTTAGCTCATATCAAACACATGAGGCTGTTTTGGATTGTTTTAAAAAAGAAAATATTTTTCAAGAACGGAGAATGTTTTACTTTACTTAAATATACCATGCAGTAGCAAATATGCTCACTAATTATAAAAAAGGCCTAGCGTACTCAACAAAATCCAAACTCAAAAATATTCAGTGTCGGTTTTCTTTTTACAACTATGAGCTGTTCCATGCTATTCTTATTATTATTTAGCTTAGTTTCTTTTTTAGGAATCCGGAGTATAAGTTCGTTTGGAGGTGGAATTACTCCATAAATGTCTCGCAGACTTTCACTCGGGCCAATGATTTACAAAAAGCAATATTTCCTCTATCTTCACTAATTATTACTTTTAAAGGTGGTAACCCTAAATGTTTTCTAGTATAATAATATCTAGCTGTCAGCGATGTTGTTTTTTACAGGAACAAAATAGGCACTTTGTAATCCAGCCCCAGGACTAATGTTCCCTGATTATACTTTGAAAGACGATTAGTTCTTACGGCACTTGTTTACCCATGAGATATTTTGCTGCTCCTTTATGTTCCCGGAGACGCGTTTTTGTAGAGTACTGTTGTCACTTTTTCCTGAGAAACTTTTGCATCATAATATTCTACTTACGTGTCTTCTAGTTGCAACAGCCCAATAAGGTAATCTCAAAACTGTTAATCAGGAATCTGAATCGAACGCCAACATTGTATCTCCTTTTTGACAGTTTTATGTTATAGAAACTGGTTATTGATAATTTTATATCTATAGGGGATGTTTTCTGAACCGGTCCCTACACCTGTTTGTATTGGATTGGAGCAGGATTTCTTGCGAAGGGTGATCCTTATTTAACAGTGGGGCCTTTTGTGACCAACGTAAGTTGTTTTGTTTGACAATTAAATCAAGGGGTTGCTTGTTTTTGGACAAAACTTTGATTATTTTTATCATCTGGAACATTGTATTTCTTTTTAGAGGAAGTCTGCCGGCTGTCTTAAAAGTTTCATTGGGAGCCAAAAAGATCAATGGGTTTTATATGTGATGGATAATGTCTTAAAAAAACCTAAAATTAACAAAATTCTTCTTAGACACGTTAAGTGTCCAATCTACAATGGAACATCGTCGTCTTATGACTAGTGAGTCGTAAAACCTAATTGTTCAAGTTTAAAGGAATCCAAATAAAATTCGACTTCCGATTATTATCGGTCAGATGTTAAGCCTCATAGTTCAGTACAGCTTCCGACTCAATTTCAATATTTCGGAGTAGCAAAAACGGCTGCCGGATACCAGCGTAGCGAAGGAACGCCTTTAAACTGTATGCAAGCAAAGAACATGTTCCAATAAAAAATCGTACACAAAGTAATTACAGCTTTCGCGATGGAACTGCTCAAGTCTAACTAACTACTAACAAAATACTAGTAATCTTTCCCCGTCCATTTCCAATGTTTACTTACAAATGGTGTTGCGCCTGAGTGAGCATCTACAATCTTCAATTTCCGTTTTACACGTCCCAGATACTCAGTATATTGGTTCTGCTCCAATGAATGTTAGTTTTCAATAACTTGCCGATGACTCGTGTTTATCTAATGACGTAGAGTGGTATTTTAAACCAGACAATACTAGCTTCTTCGGTAATTATAGTATTTGTAGTCTCTGGTGCTAAGGCAACACTATTTATCCAGTTCTGAATGTCAGCAATGCGTATTACGTTATCAGTTATAGATTATAGACGTTGTTTCGATTTATAGATATTGGATGTAAAGGTTCAATTTCTATCAGTGACAATACCGACTATTTTCCAAGAAAATCATTTTTTTAAATGATATCAAGCGACGGGACGAACAAGTCGTCCGCTTGGTGGTAAGCGATACGTTTAAACATGAGAGTTGCAGTGCACTCAAAGCTTCAAATCGCAAATCGCAATATTATAGGGGCACTGCCACTGCGCCCGTCAACGGATGACGTAAGTTGATACAGTCCCATGTGTCTATAATTTCAGCTCACATTACCGCTTAACGGCAGAAATAGGCAAGGTGGCGATACTTCACTGGGCGAACTCTTTCACAAGGAGCTCTACTGCTACTAACCTTATATTATTAACCTATTCTTGAACGGTAACAACTCTTCTGTTTGTATCCAGTTTTGCATAGTCGAGGCGGGGAAATAACAGATAATTCTAGCAATTTAAAGTCAGTACGGAGAAATCTAAGGTGTAATTATAAATACGACTGTAACGTACAAACGCATTTCCTCTGTGAATAGCTGACGATGGAGTAATGAACTTGGTAATTATACCTTATACGATTATGGGGGCAAATTAGTGAATGATGTATGTACCAAAAATATATATAATAATATACAAAAATATTGTAAAATTATATTTATTCAAAAGCTGATATCGCAATTTTGTATAGGAAGGTCAATTTTGCTGTCGCTGATGAAGGCAAATGACCTCTGAACAGGTTTCCAACTATGCATATTTGAAACATCCGTAGTGAGGTAGGTGCTGCATTTTGGCTTAGCGAAATGATCTAATTCTCAGTTTCGAACAGTTTTACTCGTTAAGAATGTAGCTTTTCTATATATACATTTTTAACCGACTTCAAAAAAGGAGGAGGTCCTCTATTCGACTGTGTTTTTGTGTGTATGTTACGCGATTGCTCCAATATTTATGAACCGAAATCGATGATTCTTTTTTATTGGAAAGGGGTAACCTCAGTAGTGATCATATTCAAATTTGAAGAAAATATTCCACCTCTAAGGGTGGCAAATTAGGGAATTAATGATGTCGTCCACTTTCCGTTAACCGATTTCAATAAAACTTGGCCAATAGATGCTCCCTTTGATCTCGAAATACATTACATAAATATAAATTTCAACCAAAAGCTGGAACTCCTTTACATTTTTCTGTCGAATGCGTAACAAGGCTATCAGAACCAAAAGGTCGGATAGGGTAGTCAGGTATTTTAGGGGGCATTTACTGTACGTCCAATTTAAAATTCTTTTCTAACGTTAGCTCAAAGGATTTCAAGGACTTCTACAACGTCACAATCTCATTTTCGAATTTCTACAAGAATATCGCTCCTATACCTATCAACTATAATTTAAAATATTTAGTACCTCATACAACATCACGTACGCGTACACTCAGTCACATAAACAGCACGGCCGGCTGTTCGTAATTACAAGCGAGATCGAGGTGTCGAACGTCGATATCGTAGTGTAATAATTATTAATGGCCCGACTTTGCCTTGTAAATTGCCGCTTAAGTTTCAAGAAATCTTTTTGAACTAACCGTAATGGCATTCTACTGTATTACACCAGAGAAATCATAATTTAGGTATCTGTGTAGTTATGACATTTTTTTATATTGTTAATATTAAACACGTGGTGATGACTAGCGATCGAATAATTGGATGATTAATTACTTACAATTCGGTGGCTCGCTTACATGGAATGCGTTTTTGTATCTAAAAACTTCGGGATTGACGAAATTTATGAGCATAAAATTGTTAAACTTATTTAAAATGTTATTTGTAATTTTAAGTAACATTTAAATTATCTTTTATCATATTTCATATGGAAAGTGAAAAATATAAAAACTGTGGACAATAAGAATTTTGATAGTGGATAGAACAGACTACGGGAGGGTTAATACCCAGCAGTAAATGATATCGAACAATCGAATAATGAACGCTAGTAAAATTACGTCGTAATTATATTTTAAACGAAACAAAAAACTATACAGAGCCAAACCCTTAATTTTATTACAAACTGAGTTGGAATTACAGTCTTGCGGGACACCTTATCGACGTATATCATTACAAGAGTGGAACAACGGTAATATTTAAACCGTGCTTCAAGTGTTACGATAATATCGGCCGACGATACCGCGTGTTAATCGCAGAATTTAATAAAATGGTCAACTGACAGCCGATTGATATATTGCAGTGAGTGGGGACAAAGATAAAATTATTGCGATGTTAAAATGAAGAGGCGTCGGTAAACAGGAATTGCTTTAGACGATGTTGTATCATAAATGTATTGATATATAAACAACACTTTCGTTGACAATATTCGAAATTTACAATTTTTTTTTATTATACCAAGTGACGGACGGCCTATAACTTGCCGATGACTTCTGTTTATCTAATGACGTAGAGTGGTACATTAAACCAGACAATACCAGTATCTTCG